TTTGTTACTAGAATAGAGAACCTATTGAATTGTCATCTATGTTATCATTTAAATTATCCCTTAAATAACAATGTGATCCAAGAAATAAAAAAAAAAAAAAAAAAATTCTTTCGAGCACCTTGTCATAGATGAAAATTTTATAGATGATTCAAATCTTTATGTAATCTATTTTTCGTCTCTTTTTTGTATTTTTTATCTCTTTTTAAGAAATTCATTTTCTTCTTTCTTGTGCTTTCGCGGAAGGAACGAACGGAAAATCGAAATTTTTATTTTCTTGTAAAAATTGAAATTGTAACAAAGGACATGTGAACATACACCGACACGTCATCTTTTCCACGTGATATTCACGTTGATCAACATATGATAAAGAGCCTTCCACCAAAAGATAACAAATCATATAGGAGCTGACTATGTGACAGTGATAACAAAGCCATTCTCTTTAAAACGGCGTAAATATTGGGTGTAATAAAAGGGTACGTGAGATAATAAATAAATGGACGATTGGGCGGAAAGGAGACTATGCAAAAATCCCACGAATCCCATGTGGCAGTCAATGAACCAACCAATAGCATTACAGATAAGTGTCCTTTGCATGATTTTTGGCTAATCGGACCCAGCGGGTTTGACCTGTTTATGGCCCGTTATGGGGCCCGGTGGGTTAACACACAGACCGAATTCCATTCATGAGCCTGGTGAATGCAACAGTTTCTATGAATCACAATAAGTACTCAACTGGAGAGGCATCATGCAGCCTCATTTCATGAATGCATGGTTCAAATTTCTATTCCAGCTACCATGCACCTCAACAGTATTAATGTGGGGGGGCGAGGAATTCGGCTCTTTGATAAGAGCAGACTGTGAACCTAAACATCCACTCACAATTCTTAACCTAAACCCATTTGAGCTCAAACTAAACCTGTCGAACTCATTCTCGTTTTTTTTAAGTCTAAAAAAATGTTCAAATTTATCTTGTTTAAAAAACAAACATAGTCTGAACGAGCCGAATTGGAATATTTACACATAAACGAGTTGAGTCTGTCAAATCGGTCCGAGTCAATCAAGCTCGTTTCTAAAAAAGTCTAAAAAAATGTTCAAGTTTAGTTCATTTAAAAATGAGTCGAACCTGAACGAGCCCAAAATAAGACGAACCCGAGTCAAGTTCGAGTAATTCAATTCGATTATCAGCCCTATCTTGAACACATTCAAGATTGATGGGAGCACTGTACAAAGCCTATGATTCTGTCACTGCCCCAACTGCAAAGTTCTCACCAAATAACCCTTATAAGAGAGGTAGCAGATCAAGGTTAACAGTGATGCGCTTAACAAAGCTTTCAAAGCAAAATTAGAGACTTAGATGGTTGTACCATATTTATGTCCCAGTTCATTATAATTTTCCTTTTGCAAACAAGACCTTATAAAGCCGAGCTAAAACTGTCAATCTTCATATTATTTCCACAACTCCAACCCCAACAATTGGAAAGTGAATGCTGATTTCAGAATGTCTCAATTTGGGAAATGATAGTAGAAACTATCTAAAGTTTACCATTTTGGAATTGAAGGATGAAATTGCAACAATCTATCAATATTATGTTACCCAATGACTGCAAAACTTACAGCAAGCAATAGCCATGAATGAAAGGAAACAGTTAAGACCCTAGAGGCAGTGGATCCAATAGAAGACGAAGAGAAACCGCTCAATCGCAAGCTGCTTTGGTTTGAAGTTATAGCAGCCTGGAGTCTTTGTCACCGAGGAACTCCAAATTCTTGGGAATACCCACAAGAAGGTAAAGGAATGTAATTAGTGGATGGAACTTTCACTAGAAGAGAATGATAAAGTTTATGAGCAGAGTAAGTATATAAATGTTGACGAAGGACCAATGATAAAAACCCAAAAGAATTAATCACCGTAAGTCTATAACACATAGTGGGGAAGCAAAAGACTGTCGAAAATTATACTGTTGTGGATACAGGACAGTCACTAAATAATACTGTTAACAGAATATTCGAAAACTGATGATACAGGTGCAGTCAAACAAACTTTCTTTACCAGGCTTGCCAGAATTTTTCCTCTCTAATAAGAAAAGTACAATCACCACATAGAAAATGTCTTTCCATGGGATCACTGACGTGTTACTGGGAAAACTGGTCTGTATGCAAGATCTCATAACAACCAGACTATCTAACAGAACTCTACAAATTATGGAACAGAACGACCCAGTAAAAAACCAAGAACAGAGTTTACAAAATAAAGATGTGGATACAAGTCCCTGGTACCTATGCGGCATAATTTACCAAACGACATTATTCTACAGCTGACAGCATCCTTCCTATAGGAACAAAATATTACTACTCTGGAATTGGTCGTAATCAGACTAAAGAAATGGCAACCATTGAAATCTCTAGAATGACAAAAGGTGTTGTAGCCTTCTAGAAATGATGACAAACCCAGGGGAAGGATCAAAATACTCATTTGTAACCACTTCATCAACTGACACAAACTCCACGGAGGCCAATAAAAAAAAGGAGATTGTATGAGAATGTCAATAATCGGTTAAAATAAGAAAAAAAAACAACACCAAATAATGCATTCAAACAATTTTCTACATGCTCCAAATTCAGAGTCAAAAACTTTTATAACTTGAAGGACTTCTTTGCCGTCCAATTGATACAGAACAAAAATCCTTTGCGTTTATTGTCTTGTATGAAACCAGCGAGCCTTGTCACAATGGTATTGCAAGTCCTATACAAGCAGTACAAGAACTAGTCAGGACACACCTAAGATTGAAGTTGCCAAAAAGAGTCATCCACCATCAATGAAGAGCTATAGACTATCTTATAAATCATAACCCATTAATGCATTTAGCTCCTCAAATTCCAATAATCAACATTGCATCTGTGTTTGGGAGCGTGGAACTTAAAATTAGAAATGGAATCCATTGGGGAGAACTTGGTTACATTATGAACTGTTTTTTTCTTGATTTCAATACCAAATACCTCACTATTAGCAACGGAATATATATCAACAACACAACAGAGACCTATCATAGACTTAATTCAATAAATTAATGCTCTAACATTGGCAATTTTTTTCTTCAAAAAAAATTCTACAGGTGCATATAGAGTGAGAAAAAAACATATACCTTGAGAAAGCCAGCTCCAACAGGTGGAATCAACGGCAATACTCGACTTGAGACGAGCAGAGGCAATCGCGCTGTGAAGTGGCATCATGGACTCGACACTTCCCAATACCGAAGCAATCCTAAAAAGCAATTTTAACACAAGCATTTATAGATATAGCGCTACATATACATATTGAACGACAGCGGTTAGTTTTGGCGATACCTTGAAGCTACGCAAATGGTGGTTCTTCTGGAAGAAGGGAATGGAGAGGTGGGGATGGGTTTTGGAGTTAGGGTTTTGGAAATTACATTAGATCGAGCAGTGAAAGACCTAGAAGCGGTCATTACTGTTGATCTGAACGCGGAAGCCATATCCCTTATTAGGGTTTTTCCGCCCAAAATACAGAGGGCTGATAGAGATTGAAGAGTGAAGAAGACAACACTGACGCTTAAACCCTACAAGCCGTAAATATGATTACCTTCAAATAGTATCGAATGAGTCGAGCTGATTTTTATATCTTTGTAATGAGTTGAATTTGTTTGAAAAATCATAAGTTTTACCCTTAACTATGGGCTTTCTTTTAAATTGTTCCCTATTTTAATTATCCTCTAAATTATGTAATTTATTTCAATCATCACCTGGTGGTTTAGTAATAAGTCATTTTCATTTAAAATCGTCTTTGACTCTCACGTGATTATCATTCTTTGACTCTCATGTAGTTATCAAATATCAAGAATAGTTTGATCCACGGGAGTAATGCCCGAGCTAATAGTCTAGTGATAAGTTATTTCTGTTTATGATTTTTTTAACTCTCATGTGATTATCAATTTTTGACTCTCACGTGGTTTCAAGAAAAGTTCAATCCATGGAAATAAGGCCTGAATTGGTGGTCTAATGGTAACTCATCTTCGTTAAGGATTGTTTTATAATTCTCATGGGATTATCGAGCAGGATTCAATCACGAGAGTAACGCGATTTTGTTGTTTGAGTTTGGTGGTGCTGTGATGACGGAATACTCTTTCAGGTTAATAACTATGATTCAAATCAAACATTCCACAGTGAGCACTCTCATGGTCATGCCCATAAAAGTTACTATTTATTAGTCGTCTCTACTCCTTTTCCTCTGATAAAAAAATAAAAATTCGATCGTTCCTTCTATTAAAATTAATCAATAATTGAGTCAAATTCTATTAAGATTAATAGTTAATTTATCTCATTTAATGATTAATCTTAAAAGAAAGTGTCGATTAAAATAAATTATATAGTTTAAAAGATCAATTGAAATAATTGAAAGTTATTGAGATAATTTACGACAAAGGCAATAATTTAGGGTGTATTGCTTATGAAATTTACCCTAAATTTTGCCATATTTGAAAAACATAAAACTTGTCGTAAATTATTTTCGCAAAATGGTTACGTGATTATATTGGAAGAAATTAATTAAAGGAGTGCCATATAATAGAGAATATTGGGCCGGGTCGGACCCTCTATTTTGCCCCATTTTTTGGTATAGTCTAGCGTGATTTTTAATTAGAATGATTGATCCACAATAAACTCATGAAAATAGTTCCTTGATGAGTCTCCAACTAGTAATTCGTAGGTTTGGTTAGAATGAGTGTTATAGTAAGGGCGTGTTTGTTTGCCAGATAACTGAGATATTAGGAGGTGGGATAGAGAATAGTTTGAGAACAACCAAGTCTATGGTATAATGGTACACAATGAGGCTGCTGGATGTGTGTGAGAGAGAAGAACTTAACCATTAAAAATTGATGGAAACTACTGCATGGTGAAATAAAGAACTGACCACATAGTGAAAAAAACTGAAAATTATCAAAAAGTCCAAACCTAGAGGCATTTAAGTTTGACTTCTAGCTTCATCCTCACTTTTTACCCTCCTTGTCATCTTCACTGTCTTGATCATATTTAAGATCATAGACGAATGGTTTTCCATGTTGGTCTTGCTTATTGAAACCTACAGAGACCAGATCCTCACTATTTCCTATTATTGTCAATCATAACCACCTTGCACTTCCTTTTACCACCCGACATAATTCCGACCATACCGTTATTGTTTACAGGAAACTCAATACTGGCTGTTTTGCAGTTAATCCTTAGCAAAGCAACCGACTCCCGATATGATCCAGGTCGCGGGTCAACTATACTAGCCTTCATCAACACAAAAAAATCCACAGCCATTTTCTTTACACATTTCCTATCAATTGAATATGTCTCAAAGTTGGCATACACCAATCTCTCTTCCTCTGAACGCAGGCGAAACGGAGTAATAAGATCTGTAGATAAAAATCCTTTCTCGTAGATCATCGAAACTTGGCCCGAGTAGTACCGGACAGTCGCGTTCTCCCTAGGGTTTTTAATGGAGAAAGTAACCCTCCAGTATGCTTCTTCATTGTTGAGAATGAGTGACAGAGAATCGATGTCGAATTCGGGAGCTTTATATTTAAGCTCATCATCCTCAGTGACCTTCAAAAGGTGGTGGAATGGACAAATGCCAACAAAGGACATCACAATTAGCACCCCGAGAAACACGAATAAACGATGTCGTTTTTTTTTATCTGTCATTGGTGGTGCCTTAGGGTTGGTTGAGATGAGCAGCTTCTCTTCAAGGTCTGTAGTAGCAGAAGTTCTGTACATTTTGGCTTGGCTTTGAGATCAGAGAAATGAAGAAAAGGTAAGAAAATATATATTTATGTAGGTATGAGAGAAGAAGATAATCATTATCGCTGAAGAAAAGGATGCTGTTAAGTAGGGATTATCTTTTGTTACAACTTGAGTTCTAATTGCTAACAAACACTAATGAGAGCGAGGCCGGCGCAACAGTAGAGCCAAAAAAAGGATGGGCTTTAGGCTCATATATAAAAAAAAAACTTGAAATGTTAGAGTTCAATAATAAAGTATAAATCAAAAATTCAAATTTATTATAATTTAATTTAACAAAAAAATTTTGAAAAATTACGTAAAAAAGATAAAATTTAAAATTTACGTCTAAAAATACAGTCCATTTCACACATACACATTTATTAAAAAATAAAAAAGGGTTAACACTTTGATAAAAAAATATCTCTCTATTCCAAAAAAATATCATTTATTAAACTCGATTTTGTTTTTATTTAAACACAAAAATATCAACTAATTAAATTGTTCGTTCCATAATAAAAACTAATTAATATAAAAAATTAATAATATTTAATATATATTAGATGCCTAAATTACTAAAAAAGAAAAATAATGTGACACCACATTGTAATATTGAACATCTTTACTATAAAAGTACCTTATAAAAATCAATAAAAAATATATAAAATATAAAATAATATATGTTACTTTTAATCGTTGCGCGTCATTTAGTAATTAATGTGTTTCACTTAATTGATTTCATGGACGAAGACATGACAGTAAGGGACGAGCAAATACTACAATTATTGCGAGATGTACAAATACTACAATAACATAGCAGGACCAACCCTAGGGCCCAACCATTAAAATAATCGCCTAGAGCCTAAAAAATTTAGAGATCCAATTTAATTTTCAGTCTTTTGTTTAGCTTCATATTCTGAAGTCCTTTTAAATGATTAAATTAAAATAAAATATATTTCACAAGTTCATCTAAAACTTTATAAAAAATCCTAAAATATAACTATTTTTATAAGTCTATATAAATCTTTATACAAAGTCCTAAAATATAACAAAATCTTCTAAAAAAATTTAAAATTAACGACTTCTAATTTAAAATTAGCAATCTCTCTCAAATTATTTTCATTAATTTTTCCTCGCCTCTTTCCAACTCTTTTTCTCCCTCGCAATCTTATTGTCTTACTTTGATTTATTGTCTGTATCTTTATCTATCTTGGTGTTTCTTTAAAATTTTATTCAATTTATTCATATGTAACTTCTCCACATTTTGGCTTTGAGATCAGAGAAATGAAGAAAAGGGCAGAACATGAAAGAGACGAAAATTGATGGACCTTTTGAGCAAATAGTATATATTTATGTAGGCATGAGGGAAGGAAGATAATCATTATCTCTAAAGAGAAGGATGCCGTTACACATGTGCACGAAATTAGGGATTATCTTTTGTTACAATCAGAGTTCTAATTGCTAACAAACACTAATGAGAGATGAGAATTCTTCAATATACTTTTTTTTTTAATTTTTTTTTTGGTGGATCAGTTATAACTTTTATTCAAATGAGACCCATTTTATTTATCTGGGTTTTCCTTCATTAACGAGGGACTTGGGTTTTCCTTCATTAACGAGGGAATCCCTAACTACCCTTCATTAATGAGGGATTCGGGTCCTTAACTAAAAGAAATATACAGTGATACTAGTGCACAGGATAATTCCTACAATAGTATGAGACAGCGATCTCCCAGTTGGTAAATCTGAAATAATAGGGTCAGAAAAAGGGGGTCAGACGAGCGCCCGGCTAATCCCCTCCGAAGCTTAAGTCAGTATAAGGTCGAAAGGTTTTGCTCAATGGATTATTTTTCTGATTCAAGTTTGCGTACCTTTGTCCATTTTTTTGAAGAGTATTTATACCTGAATAAACAATGATTGTCAAATATCTCCAGTCTCATATGAACATCTTATATCTGACACATCATTCCTCGTGCAATGAGTGTTTTCAACTCACGTCTCCTCCTATTAAATGCTAGGACAATGGGGTAAATGCTCGGCCAAATGCCGAGCATTTATGCCCCTCCCTCGAGTACCCAAATCCCCCAGATCGGCATCTGACATCAACTGAGCATTGAATACTCGGGAGGAACAGTTCCTTGGGAAGCCGATTGCGCCATCTCGGCGCATCAGCCATTAATGCTTATCCATCATGACGGTAGGCCTAAACTCCCAGAGGGCAGGTGCGCATTTATTTGTTTTGTCACTATCACTCATTCTGCCATAAATGAGGGGTCACATCACATTAAATACGATGTCAACTGTCGTACTCGGCTGTTCCGTGTCACCATATCTCGGCTTACCTCCTTGGCACCCTTTGGATATCCCAACCGCTTCATTATTTCACGTGTCAACCCAGGGCCTGTAGAGCCACCTAGAGTCCTGCCAATTGCCCCACAGCCGCCATCCTTTTCGCAGTGTGAGACAAGTGGCGTAAAGAGATTGGGGGCTCCATCATTATACCTTATTAATAGCGACGGTTACTTGCACATATGGTGCTGCCCTTTTCAAATGCCCTAATGATGACCTAACTTTTTGATTCTTACTCCCTGTAAAGCAGTATAAATAGAAGGTTTTCATACCTTCTCAGAACTTTTGCATCATCAGCCTCTCTTCAGCAATCAGACCCCGAGTGCTCCTCTATTCTCCTCCGAGTTTCCTTCGTCCTCCGAGCTCTCTCTTTGAAGACCACATTCATGTAAGAACTGCCACTTGAGCTTTTTCTCTCTTCATTTCCTCTACATTTCGTCCTTTTAGCACCCACCAATGGCTAGAACTAGTAGAACCAGGGGGGGACGTCTATTAGGGCTAGGACTATCCATAAGATGAGGAGAACCCAAGTGACTGATGAGAATATCCAATCTTTTAGGGTTAGGTACCACATCGGTGAGCCTGTCTTTGCTTTCCCCTTCGACCCCACTCACTATAAGAGGGATATGGGAAATGTGGACATGATGTCTTTCTGGACGAAGGCCATCATAGAGGGAGGGTTGACCTTCTCCCTCAATCCCCTGTTGCTGGGAGTATTGATGCAACTGAAGCTCTTTTCCCTTCAAGGTGGGGTTAACTTCTTTAGGATTGTGATAGACGTAGTCACCTTAAACGCTCGGTTGGGGACCAACTTAGGAGTAGATGAAATTTTATTTTGCTATGACCTGAGGCTAGTCGTCGGGGGGCGATATTACCTCCAGGCTCGAGACGGCTCAATGTATCTGGTAACTCACATGCCCGACTCAGACAAGGGATATGTAGACGATCTGATCATGCTCGATGGAAATTGGGAGAAAGGGACCGGGCCTGAGTATGACGGATTGTACTGCCCCAAAGTGCCGAGGGATGAAAGTGTGTTTTCTTTCTGACTTCTTGATTTTGCTATTCTTGGGTCCGAGGGACGCACTGATTTTGCTTTGCTTTTGTAGAAGGATATCGCCGGGACGCTGCTCAATCGTTGAGGTCCCAAGTCCGATTTGATGATCTGCTAAGGGTTTGGTCCTCGGACCCAGTTGAGCGAGCGGTGCATACTTTCCTCGGCTACATGCCGACTTACAGTCGATTCTTCCAGATTCTACGTCCTTTCAACCCTTCTATTTGGGAAGACCATTCCTCGTCGAAAGAGAAAAAATTCGAGGGAGATTCTGAAAAAGAGTCTGATCATCACACTCCCGAGGCCCTTGCGCCTGAAATGTTTAATCTGCCACCAGTAATCGTTACTACAATGGAGGTCGTCGCCACGACAAGGAGAGCCAAGCTCGCTGGGTTGGCCGAGCCTTCCAACACTGCCCCCATTATCCCCTGCCTAGTTCTCCTTGGAGGTAACCGTCGCAGTCGCCGCAGTTGCCACTGCAGCGTTCGCAATAATCTAGGGACCCGGCGACGTGCCGACCAAGCAAATGTCTCAATCTCAACAAGTCTCTGCTCCGGGAGATCGACTGAGGAACAAGCCTACCCGAGATGCCAAAAAATTTGAAGAGCGCCGTGTGAAGCGGCGACATGATGTCCCAGGCCCGTCTGTCTCGGGCGAGTGGGTTACTCGGGCCAAGATCAGGAGCGACCTCCCTGTTCTGGAAGCCGACTCTATCTCCAATCCCCTGAAGTGGCGTTTGCCGTCGCGGGAACGCTTCAATTTGATGCCGATATGACCGTGTACAAAGGTTACTCGGACAATCGACTTCTGATGAGCACTATCCAAAATAACCTGATGGTAAGTTTAACACTTCCCGATTATTCTCCGCACCCTTTTGGTCGTTCCCTAATATTTCTCCTTTTTCAGACCAGCCAGCAGATGGGGGCCATAATTGAATGTTTTTGGGAATATAAACAAGAGGCAAAGAACGCCGAGCGAACCGTAGCTGCTAAGGACGACCACATCCTTAAGGTCGAAAGGATCCTCGACGACCAAACCAAGCACATCGCCGAGCTCATCCACCACCGAGACGTCGTTCATGCCGAGCTGAAAAATACCAAGGCGGGTGAGCTGGAGTACGAGCTGCGAGTGTCCTCCTCCGAAGCCAAGCTGCAAGAGTCCGAGTCTGTAATCAACGTTCTTACTGCCAAAGTGGACTCCTTGACAACAGAGAAAGCGAGGGAACAAGAAAGGCTACAATCGAAAATGTCAGACGGTGTGGGCAGCCACTCAAGACCAAATGGTCCCTACTTTCAAGGAAGCTAAGAAAAAGGCTTTCAAAGAAGGTTGGGATGTCGCCCTTCACGCCTGCCACGTCGAGGTAGACTCAGACTTGTTCGTCATGCACAGCCTACGAAGGAAGGCCGATGATGAAGCCCTGGACGAACAGGTTTGATCTGACCTAGGTGACCACGTGGAGGCAGAAGGGTCGGTCAGGGCTGAAGGTGGAAACGAACCTCATCACACTCAGTGAAGGTTCTGACCAGCCTTCTCCTATCCTTTTGTCTTTGCCACCTGTCAAGCCAACAGATGATCTGCCCCTCCTCCGCCCTTT